TCCAAGAGACATGAAAACATGCTCAAAGTCACTAATCATCCGAGAGATGCAAATCAAAATGACAATGAGGTACCATCTCACACCTGTCAGAATGGCTATCATCAACAAATGAACAAATGACAAGTGCTGGAGATTATGTGGAGAAAAAGGAACACTTGTGCACTGCTGGTGGGAATGCAGACGGGTACAGCCACTATTGAAGACAGTATGGAGTTTCCTCAAAAAGTTAAAAATGGAACTCCCATTTGATCCAGTGATCCCACTTCTAGGAATATATCCCAAGAAACCAGAAACACCAACCAGAAAGGATGTATGGATCCCTATGTTCATAGCAGCACAATTTACCATAGCTAATATTTGGAAACAGCCTAAGTGCCTATCAACAGATGTGGATTAGAATACTGTGGTACAGCCCTAACCAGTTTGGCTCAGTGGATAGAGCATCGCCCTGCGGACTGAAGGGTCCCAGGTTTGATTCCGGTCAAGGGCATGTACCTTGGTTGTGGGCACATCTCCAGTAGGGGGTGTGCAAGAGGCAGCTGATCGATGTTTCTCTCTCATTGATATTTCTAACTCTCTATCCCTCTCCCTTCCTCTCTGTAAAAAATCAATAAAATATATTTATGAAAAAAAAAGAAAATGGTGGTACATCTACATGATGGAATACTATGCTGCTGTAAAAAAGAAGGAATTCTTACCATTTGCAACAGCATGGATGCAACTGGAGAGCATTATGCTAAGTGAAATAAGCCAGTCAATGAAAGAAAAATACCACATGATCTCACTCATTTATGGATAATAAAGACCATTATACATTGATGAACAAAAATAGATACAGAGGTAGAACAGCATCAAACAGACTGTCAAACTACAGCAGAGAGGGTTGCGGGGGGGGGGGGGGGGGGGAGGAGGTAAGAGATCAAACAAAGGACTTGTATGGATGCATATAAGCATAACCAATGGACACAAGACACTGGAGGGTAGGGGAGGCCGGGGGAAGGTCAAGGGGGAAAAAAAAGAGACATATGTACTACTCTTTGTAATATTTTAAACAATAAAACAAAATTAAAAAAATAAAAAAAGAAGACTGATATACAGCTACATATAGATATACAGCTACCATTGGGGCTGGCTCTTGGGGTCCTCCCCATTAGTATACAAGTGTAGAAACCCTCCAGCTCTCCATTATGCACCACAGCAGGTAACTATGTAACCTGTCAAGCTTCATTTTCTCTAAGTCTAAAATAGGCACAATGGTGTCTATAATTTATAGTGTGGTTGGGAGAATTAGATGACATAATGTACACAACGCAATTAACACTGCCTGGCACATAGTACATGGTCAATGACTTGTAACTATGCTTCCAGTAATAAAACTTTTTGTCTAAAAGATAACTTTACAATATCACTTGACAAATACAGAATTTACACGCACTAGCACTCTGCCAAAAAGAAAAATAATCTTTTAAAGTAACCCAAGTTAAATGTGTATAAAAAGGCTTTGAATGGAGCCTGGCTCCTTGCCAGATGACTTTCAGTCTCTGAATTCAGAACAAATATATTATTATAAACAGTTCCAAAAAGATCACGGACTTTGGAGTGACCTGTTCAAGTCACTTACACTCTCTGAGCCTCAGTCTCCTCACCCATAAAATGGGAATCATTCCCACATCATCAGGTAATACTGAGGTTTTAGATGTTATTTGCAAAAGACCTAATAGTATCTTGCACATTTGTAGGTAGGTAATCATTTTAAAGCAGATGGAATAAAAGAATTCACTGGAGAGTTTATTCAGAGCTGGAAAAAATTTTAAGAGGAAAATTTCCATCCTCGGTACTTCATTTTCCCCTTCTTTGTAGTATTCTTACACGTTGCCTTCTACTCTAATCAGCTGTGCTACTCCTAAGGCTACTCAGGTTTATTTGATTTGATTTATCTCCGCATCTTCTTCCAGCCCTACATCACCCTCCAAGAACCTACCAGTGGCTTATCCAAAGACAGTAATAAAACGCTGGAAAAGTCCACCTGCGGAATTTTCACCATAACTCAGCCTGAGGAAAGTGGGATTCTCCTCCGGAAAGAGGAAGAGAAGAGCAGAAATGTTCCCAGACTATAAATCATTTTTAACTACAGGAGAAATTTCAGAAACAATATTTTGCTTAGCTTACTTCATTTCCTACTTTCTACTAAGATAAGAATGACATCTGAGAACAAGGCTTACCTATTTGCACCATTTCTTCATTACCAGCCTGGAAAGGAGGGGGGGAAAGTAAGAAAAAGAAACAGTTACTGGGTTTCATCTTATCACCTCGTGCGTTTTATTTCTACCATTAGTGCCTTTCAGGAGCTAGCTAATCAGGAGATGCCGGAGACCCGGATTGGTGCCTCCAGGCTGCACCTGGGCTTGTAGAAGGTTCTTGTGTCCTGAGCAAGAGCCAATTCAGTAACAATTCGGGGCAGGGAATTGTTTGCCCGTTTTAATTTTAACTGAACATTGATGAAATCAGCAAAATTAAATAGTGACACCCAATGTTCTTTTCCGAAAACTCCAGATACTGGGTCAGGATTAGAAAAGAGAGTCTATATATTATACTCTTACACGTGTGTAAAGAAGCCTAAAGGGGGGCCTGGTGTATCAGATTTGAAGTCAAGAATGAACCATTTCATACTTTTTACCCGATGTTCAGACCAGGCAGACCAGAGAAGCTACAAAAACTCACAGTCGTGTTCTGCACCCCAAATCCCACCAGCCCGGTGAGGATGTGAATTACTACAAACGGCTGGGCTCGCCCCGCCGAGCCTTCTTAAGGACTCTTCTGAGAGCATCGGGCTTCACCTTGAGTCTCCAAAGGGTGGGGGCTGGGCCAAAAAGAAACAGAGCTGCACTCAGCTTTAAAGAGGAGGAGCTGGGCAGAGGGGGAGGGGAGAGCAGCGGCCGGCGCCTCCCGCCTCTGCCCAGGAAAATGCAGGGCAGGAAATGTCCCAGCCCCCCTTCGCAACTGTCAAACCCCAGCCCCGCCGCAGTCCTCCCAGGACACGTGTCTGCTGGATGGCTCCCTGTCCGGCCAAAGGACTTCCTGAAACCCCCGCTTCTGTCTGCCCGAAAAGGCTGTGAGTCAGTGAGAAGAGAAATCCCCGCGAACCCGACTCCGGTGGCAGCAACCAGAGCACTAGGATCCTGGACCCCGCGTGCAGAGCTTCATTCTAGCGCCCCGACCGCCCTCCGGAAAGGGGAAACCCAGACGGCCCGGCGAGGATGCGAACGGGCTGCAGTTTGTGGCCAAGAACTGTTACGAATGCCGCAAAGTGGGGAAGCCCCAGGTGTGACAAGCCTGGGCTCCCGGAGCGAGAGTCCTCGCCTCCCGTGCAATTCAACCCCCACAACCCACCCACCCCCAAAAGCCCCTTGCGCTGCACCCAGCCCTCAAAACACCGTTCCTGAAGGCACCAGATAACAGGGAAGGGTGGGAGGGGAGGAGGAAAGAGGAGGGGAAAGAGGGGAGGAACTTTTTCGGGAAAAGGTTGGGTTTGAGTTTTTCATTATTTTCCACTTACTTGTCCATCAGCTGAAGTCCTAACCTGTACCAGAGCGGCTGCTATCAACCAAAGTGACAGGAGAACCATCACGAGTCGAGTTGACTTTTCAACTACTGGGCAAAGCAAATGCCCAGAGCATACACCCCCCAAAATAAGTTTCTTGTAAAAAAAAAAATTAAGGGGGTGATAAAAAGCAGAATAGAAAAAATAAAAACCTTATCTTCTGTGCTTTGCTTCAATGAAAATGAAATCTGAGCTCTGAGACTGGCCCCCTGTGCTCTGCAGTCTTTCCACTTCACCTTCTCACCCCGTCCTCCCCAACAGAGCGCAGGAGCGAGAAGGTGCTGCGCGCCCGCACGGGCTGCGCCGGGAGAGGGGGAAGGGACCGGGGCTGCCAACTAGCTCTGCCCAGCGCGGCTTTCTCTAGGCTTCCCTAGCACCATTGATCCCCACGATCCGCGCCGAGAATGCTTGGGTCCCCCAAAGCACAGCAGGGGGAAGTACGAGCGAAAGAGACGAGCGAGCGGGAGCGGGAGAAAGAGGCAGGGAGAGGGCGACTCCGCCGCGCACACAGAGGTGGGGGCGGGAGGAGCCGGAGGGAGGAGGAGGCTGGCGGAGGAGGTGGGAGGAGTGGGCCGCTCGCCGGCTCCTGTTGCTCGCAAAGCGGTCGTCTGCTCGCTGC